CTGTCCATGGCACCACCACGGACCTCATGTCGCCTTACGACGAGTCCAGCATCGTCTGAGGTTACGGTTACGGAAATGCACTCGCACTCACAGACACAGGCACACACACTCAGACTCGCACAGTACGCATTGCGGTACCGACACTCAAGTCTGCCTGATCGATACATCCTTGCATATATCCTACCTGGACTATCCCGGCCAGACTGGGCCTTGCAGAGAAGGAAAACCCCCCAGATTCCCGGGGCTTGTGTCCGTCGAGACGGGCCAGGGACAGCCCAACCCAACCCACTCGAAGCCCTGTCGAGGGTCCCCCCTTACCACCGCCCTAGTCTCCCTTAGCCCCAGTTCCTAGGGCCTGTCTAATCTTTGGGAGGGTACAAGTTGCCTTGCCCCAAGATTGCATCAATCTCTTGCTCATCTTGTTAACTTATATGTACATTGCATCCTCATTCTTATAATTTTGTTGTTTGATCTCCCGATGACCTTTCCCACCCCTCATTTCGATACATGTTTGAAACCTTATGGCATCTGATCTGCCCTACACCAAGTCTCTCTTTTAGGTCTCACTTACTCCATTCCTTACTTTATTTGCTTGCCCTGCCTGGCCTAAGTCAACAACAAGAATTTGTGGAATAGGCCAGTTTCGCCAGGCATTGTTTACATACAGGGCACGCTCCGACGTCGCCCTCCTCTTGGAGGCCTTGTGTAATCATGTGGGCTGCTACAATGCCTTATTACTCAGAATACCAGTCGGATCGTTCCAGGCGCGATGCGAACCAGAATGCTCAAGCCAATGCCAGTAACGATATTCATGGTTACCGCGATGTATCTCCCCACACCCGACAGTCACCCATCGATCTGGACGAATACCTGGTACCAGCCATAGAGGGCCCTCCATCACCCGAGAGAATTCGCCAATTGAGCAAGCAGATGAAACATGCGTCTCACCTTAATCGAGGTCACCGGGCTGTATCGTCTGGGTCTTCGTCCTTTGTGAATAGTGAGCGAGGATGGGAACAGGGATTCGAAAACATGAGCATCACTCGGCACTCGTCCCAACGATCTACGACTAGCGGAACTTCTTCTCGAGACCGACCCGACAGTGTGCAAGTATTGGGCAAGAACATCTTCCATCGCCGTGCAAAGTCAAGCAAGTCAGGACGCTCGAGACGTGAGAGCAGTGCCCAGAGCTCATCGGGAAGTTCATTGTACTCGACTGAATTGAGCAGCGAAACTTCCTTGACCACCTTCAAGGACGCCATCATGCCTACTATCTTTGCTCGCCGGAAATCATCTCGCGACGAGACAGCCCTACAGAAGAAGCTTCAGATATCTGGACCTTTCAACTTTCAACATGTGACGCATACTCCACGCGAACAGGTAGCCAACTCAGCCTCACGTACTCCCGGACAGGAGCACCCTCAACCCAACTTCTACACAGACCGCATTGTCGAACACGAAGTATCTCCCCGTAGTTCAAGAGCCTCTAACCTTCCACGCCGATTGATCAAGCATGCTCGATCCCAGGAGCAGCTCCGTACCAGCCCACCTCGGCCAGTCCGACCCCCAAGACCTCCTCCGCTTGAGGCACTTCACTCTCCTACTCTGGGTGCCCCTATTCCACCCCCAAGAGGCTCAAGCCGACAACCCAGCCTGCAAGATGGTGACGCGCTTGCAATGGCAAGGTTTGATCGTCCACTGACGAGTGGTGGGTTCCGACACCCTCAACCTTTCAGCCCTAGTGAGATCATGGAGCGACCTCCAGCAACATCTCATGGTTATGCCATGGCCCCTGAACAGGCAGTATTGCCAGTAGACGATCATCGATTCTCGCATGCGATTACTACCCCCGATGATGCAGCATGGCCACTTCCCGTAGCCGCAACGTATGAGCCACCATTGCCAGATGTGCCAGAGGAGGAAGAACATACGGTAAACATTGGACGATCACCAAAGAGTATCACCAGCACCAGGTTGTCACTTCGTGCTAGCCAATCGGTTCCTCTTCTTCGGGGATCCCAGACTCTCGAGAATGATGCTGCCCAACACAGTGCTGGACACTCCAACGGCCAAGCTCATTCCATCAGAGAGAGTTGGGAGGATGACATCGACTACTGTTACGAACACGAGGCCGATGCCAACTTCGATTACGAGTGGGAGAGACCATCGTTGGAAGGTGGACGAGAACAGGCACCTGGAGTTCAAGTGGCTTTGTTTGAAGACGATGAGTTGAGGGAGCTACCGACCATTGGCACCGCTGAGTCGTCTCCCGGTATGCTTTCCGCGTCCCGTTTTGATATGCCGGCTCTAAGCCCAGCTAGTCAGGCTTCGCCGGAGAGTGCCTTCGAGGCCGTCACCCCAAGCACGGGAGTCGCAGTGACCAATAACTTCTCACTCCCTCGCAGTGACAAGGTCCACCGACCGTCCAATCTTAGTCATTGTCGAAGTGACTCTCGAGCATCCAGCTTCAAGGAGTCATATGGCTTCACCTTGTCTCCCTCGCTACTCATTCCTGGTGACTACCATCAACAGATGCTCCTCAACGAGACCGAGAGACAGAGCTATTCGGGTGAGGATGATGTGGTTCATGGTATCGTTGACCGCAACCACCCCTATGAGGATGTCAGCAACGCTGCCAGTCACACCTCTCTTCAAATGTCTCATCAGCGCGCAAGCACTTCCACTACTGCTACCAACTCTACATCCCTCTCTGACTCTACTGGAGAGCGTCATGTCTCTACCAACTCCACCTGGACTAACCTGACTCGTCTCACAAGCAGCACGTCACTGAACAAGTGGGTTGAGTCAAACAACACAATCCGCGAGTCGCAGATCATCAAATCACTCGATGATAGCGACGAAGAAGAGACGACTCCTCCTGCCTCCACCGAGAAGGACACAGTCCCTGAGCTCACACCATTCCCCTCGGTGCCTATCACCAAGAAGCCTCACCACAAGAGCCATGCAAGCGAGTCTATCGTCAGGGATGATATCCCCAACAACACTAAGTCTGTCGAGGTTCCCAAGACCCGACGTCCTCGTGCTAGAACAACAAGTCTAAGCACTCAGGCCCCTCCTGTGGGCCAATATGCCCTATTTCCTCGTACATACGCCAAGGGCAATGGCGATCGTATCTGAAATGATTTGATCGCTTCATGTTATTTGTTACCTGTTTTCGACCTCAACACTTGGGGCAGCTTTTTTATTTCCGTTTCATATCTCTCTCACATACGGCGTACGTCGCTTTCACACTGCTTTTATACAAGACACTGTGCTCCTGGGTATGTCAACCCATGGTCGGATTTCTTTTGTACGGGTTTGAGCTTCGCCACGAAAGGCATTCTATACTTGGTCCTATGGTCCGGCTTTCGGGCCTCGACCTTCAGCCTCCGGCAACCAGGTCATTTAAGGCGTACTTTTGATCTGCAGAAAGCAGTTCAGGGCATTGGGGGCGGTACTCAAAAGCTAAACAAGGCATTGGGTGTGTTTTTATTTATTTTTTATCTTTACTGCAATGGCTATTCGGAGTCGGCCACTGGGGGGTCGGCCAATGGGTGAGAATGAGGTCCAACTCTGTACGAGAGACCTTTGGGAACAAACTGGCTCGAGATTTCCAGTTCTGATGAGTGATGGATTTATGAACTTTTAGACAAAAATCAGCGGCACATAGCAGTAAGCTATATTGTACAACATTCCGGCACCACGGCCAAAAATGCATTTCTGCCAAGCGCGCTGACTTTGAGACTTTTGCTCTTTGTAGATATACTAAAAATGACTAAAAAAAATGTTAAAGCTTAACAACCAAACATTCGCAGTTCTATATGCTAAGTGACCAACCTATTATTGAACAACTCAAAATTACCATGCATTCCTTGAGATGATGTCAGCGTATGAATCCTTGCATGTTATTCGTCAGGGGTCGCAGTGAATGTAGTGGTTCAGACCACGCAAGACGATTCAGGAACCAAAGAGTATACGTCAACGTCTTGTTCATGACACCGGCTGATTTAGCTGTCCAAGATAAGTTTTCGACTCTTGTTTAGTTTGTTCAAGGTAGAGCCAGTGTACGCTCAAGTTATGGAGGTCAACCGAAGATGCTTGTCATGCATAATTGTGGAATGAATTTCAAACCGCAACCATAAGTCTATTCCATGAACTTGATTATAGGTAGACATGTCTCTGAGAAGCCAGTGTCATATAGCCCATGCCCAAAAGTCATGTTTATCCCATTCCCATTCCCATTCCCGTTTTCTAAAGTCTTTGTTCCTTCTGCCCTTCCTCCATTGCTTGCTCAATATACAACACTAAACCGCAGAGTCCCTTTGTAGAACCCCAATGCTCCGCAGTCAATGTAGACAAAGAAGATTCAAGTAAAAAAGCGTGGCAACATGATGTAACATGCAACATCTGTCCAGTCCAGTCCAATCAAGTCAAACCCATGTCTCTATCTGTTGTGGGGTGTTGAGGCTTTGGTGTCATGTGAGTCGTGAGTTGAAACAAAGTATGGTATGGGTAATGAGGTGAGGAGGTGTAAGAAGGACAAACAAACATACATGTCTAAGTGAGAGAATGTAAAAGGAATATCAAAACAAACACACAAGGCCAACCAATCATATAGAACAAGTACACATGAAAGGACAGAGTCACTTCCATTCGTGATACTGTTTGAGTGCCACACCCCTTTTGAATCTGCCAAAACTTGAGGACTAAAACATGAAAGCAAATATCGATGGGGCATCTGGTGATAAGGCGCATGGGTAAAGAGTGTCCACGTCCAACGAATTTCATGGGGTAAACATGCTGTGCGAACAAATGAAGCAAGCCAAAGGATAATCAAACAAAAGAAGAATATAGAAGAGGGTGTGACAGAGTTGAATGAGAGATGTAAACTTATCAAACAGATAGTCGTTCATGAACATATCGTTTGAGGAGCCCGATTCTCAAAGAAATCGTATGCAGTGTCCAACTCTTGCCTCTCTATACCTATCCACTGTCGTTCGTCAAGAGCCTTCATTCTCATTCTCATCATCATCATCCCTCTCCCTCTTGTGATCCTTATTTGTGTCGGGCTCGACAGAATTCTCTTGGCCCGACGAGGATGTTGCGCTTTCGGAGTTTGATTCTTTGAGTCGTCGTAGGTTGCCCTGAAGCTCAAGGTTCTCGAGCTCGAGTTGATTTCTGTCACGTTCTAGCGCTTGAATATGCTTCCGAGCCATTTCAAGCACCTCGCCCTTACTGACACGTCTATCAGCATCATTCGCATGGTCGGATTCGTTATCGTCATTTCCATTGCCGCTGCCGCTGTCCCCGTAACGGGCTTGTTCGGGCAGCGCACTGAGGAGAGATTCGAATTGGGCATTAAGGCGGTTTCGATATTGCTTTTCGACGAGATTATGAGAAGCTCGGGTTCGACGGTCTTCGGGAGTATCGTTGGGCTTATCTCGACTGTTTTTGGATGTTCGAGAGGCACTGCGGAGCTTGCTTTGACGGCTGGCTGCTGTCGATGCTGTCGAGGCCATGGACGCCGATTTGGAGTCAATACTGGCACGACTGTTCTGTGACGCAGAACTAGGACTGGCAGCATCGGATATTGAAGGTACTGTCCCACCAGTACTGCTACTCATAGCCCCCTGGGAAGCGTCCGATAGTTTGCGAGCCTCTTTCTTTTGCCGTCTTGGTCGAGGAGTCTTTCGTGGACGAGAAGCAGGTGTCGCATTATTGTCTCCTGTAGGTTCGTCTATCTCGGCCCAAGGGTTGCTGGCAACATGATGAACGGGGGTCCGCACTTTTGGAGTGCTGGCATCATGGCTCATAGAATCGTCCCATTGACTTGGAACGCCGGTATCGAAGTGGGCACTATTCGGGTGAATGCTTGAAGGTGAAACGAGATTACTTCCGTACGAAAACGAGGCCGGATCTGTCGACGCATGTGAAAGATGATTCGAATGCCCAACAACACCCATATGTCCTGGGATCTCGAAATCAAACTGAGGGTGATTTAGCTGTAAATTTGGAGGAACATGGTACATGTTCCAATCGATCGACATTGGGCCAGAAGAAGCGGGAGGGATGTGACTTGCAAACCCAGCGGGTGGAAGGCCCGCCGAACTCTGAGCTGAATGAGCTCCGTGGCCATGGCCGTGACCATGAATTCCATGCGCGTGTAAGTCGATATCGAGGTCAATTTCAAGATGAGCGCGTGATTGTGCACGTGACGATTCAGGAACGGTGCCCGGCAGTTGCATTCCGAGTACCGGGCCCGGTAACGTCACCGGACCCGAGTGATGATTTGCGTTTGGATTCGCGTGGTGGTGGGTCTCGATTTCGGTCGGTTCTGGCCGCGGCGGCGCATCGCGGCTGGTTCGATTCGGCGACGAAATGGGCTGTTGATGTGGGAAATGACCGGGTGGCGCCGGCGCTATCATCTGCTCCAACGGAAACGCCAAACGTTAGACTTTATTCCGTCTTCACTAATTGTTCACTCTTCTCTTTCATCTCTTGTTCTTTGTCTCAAAATTGCCACTCTACCGTCTCTTCCTGGTCTCGATTCGCTTCGTCTCTTTTCCACTCGGTTCTTTTGCCCCTGAGCTACTGAATTGATTGCGTCTCGTTCGACGAGGCAACTTTTGCGAAAATTGGCCTCTTCAAAACGAACTTTTTTGTGGTACCATTGAATACCAGGGCGCGACAACAAACCATGATTCAATAGCTCGAGTCATTCTTCGGAAGAGACGGGATAGAGACGGACACCAGTTGGATCGAGACTCAGCCACTGGCCTGATGCGTGGTGTTGACATGTCTCAGCTGCTTTGCTGCAACCATGACATGCTATTGAGCATTGACCTCGACAGGATCATCTCCAACTGGCCAAATTTACCTCTTCAACTTTAATTCACATCGCACAAGGGGCAGCAGTACACTCTTCTTCGTCGCCTCGTCGCCAATTAACGTACCTCTGGCTCTTCTATGAGAAAGTCATAGAATGACTGGTCCTCGTTATGATCCCCCGCCATGGTGGGATTGGAAGTCGGAGGCTGCAGCAAAGTCTGGATCTGCGTAGCCACTTGAGTGTTCGTCCGGCTCTTGTGTTTAGATGTCTGGAGGAGTGGGCCGGGTATCGCTTTTGCCTATGCAACCAGGCGTGCTCTGGCTGCCACTTTGATAGCAACTGGTCGTCGTTTGTGATCTAAGGATCAGGGTATGATGTCGAGTGGAAGTGCGATCGAGCTTCGATCAGTGAACGTCTTGATAAACAACTTCCGTTGATTCAGTCGGCTTGGGCCCGTGGCCGGCACCGTACTTCACCACGGAGGTTGGTGGTTTAAGGGACCCGACTGCTTATACAGCAATTTGAAGCCGCAGACTTCGACGTCACCAGAACCTGCTCAATAGTTCTAGCGCCACGGACGCCGATTCGCATCCAACAAGCAAATTAGAAGATCGAGGGCCCTATTCCAGTCCAGGACGGGCGATGCTGTACGGTAGTCTCGTGCTCCCACCAAACACAAGATAAAATGTCACCCCACCGAAGAGATTTCTCGGCACCACGAGACAATCGGTCACCTATTAGGTGACGGATCGAATGTCTTTCCGGCCCTTAATTCTTTCTCAGATGATGAGCGAATGAGTGGCCGTGCCTTTTGTTTCCACTAACGGCATTCAAGTTCTTCCTCACTGCCGCTCCGCGTACCTGCTTCACACCATTGTCAACGTCAGAGCACATGCTGGGTTGGGTGACATTTGCCCAGATCGTCACATCTTTACTCACAGGTTCCCTCTTCAGCCGCACTATCGACTGCCTGTCCTCGTGGTGGTCTTCCCTTTTCTCGTACTTCGGCCACCGGCCCCTTTCCTTCTCCTCCTCCGTCTGTCGCCTCTTCCCCTGAGGCTGTAAGAGTCGAGTGACTAGTCACGGGGACACCCAACGTTGTCCCGAGGCCTGAGCGGTATTATGGTTCGAGGCCCTTGATGACTACACTCTGGCGTGCTCACGCATTCGCCCTAGTTGTAGGATGTGGTGAGATCTGTTTTGTCAAAAATAACATAGGGCAACCTGATGGTGTTGTGTCAAAGCAAGACAAGCTTCTCTTCCCTTCCCCACGTGAACTATTAGGCTTCCAATAGGAAGATGTGGCTGGTTTGAATCCGTGGCCGTGGGAAAGCCAATGCTGTATGATGGAGGAGCCATGTGTGGATTCAAGCCGACGCCCTGATTGTGTTTGCATTAACTCGACAATCGAATTGGCCAGTGCCCCCGCCTTTACCGCCCAAAGGGGGACTTGGGGACAGCTTCTGGGAAACCTGAGCTGGAATTGGACCTTGGAAATAGGTGGACTCCTCTGGGGGGAGGAGACTGGAAACCGGGGCTGGGATTAGGTCCGGGAAGGGGACGGGGACCGACTGTAAGTGGTACTTCGGGCATTCGTGCTCTGTAAAGTGATCGGCATATCGAGACCTTGCCCATCCAGCCTTTATTGGACATCTTGGCTTGACAAGCCCTACCGCTCACATGTCAAGCGCGGAAGGGTGCATGTTTGAGGCGTCTATATCTTCCTTGTCAGTACCGTTCTCCGAGTTCTGTCAGTTTGGCGCGATGCCGAATCACATTGTTGTAACAATTGTGAGCGGTCAGATCTGGATCTTCTTAAACTAGGCTATCCGGGCCACTCCACAAGGCTCTTGTCCATTCTAAACCGTAGAGAGAAGAACGATAGTCATCCGTTATCTCATAAAAGCCAAGGGTCTGTTCTGTCAAGTGTCCCAGCTCGACCAGTCCAGGTGTTCAGGTGGCTCATCGAAAGAAGGACCACTCGTAAGTCGAGAAGCTCACTGGGCATACTGGGAATAACGGCCAGGTGACTGAGGCATGGCCATCGTGATACTAGACGATACCACGAGCTTCTTCACTTTGCTATGACTTCGTACCGTGGCCCGGTTGTTTCGGATCCAGCAGCACGGAGATGATAACTGTAACTAGATGGTTCCATTGATTTGGCATTTTTGACAGGAACACTCCAACCAGGTACGGATGGCCTCTCATCCAAATCAGACCGCGTAATGACCACAATTCTATATGTATATGTCTGTATTATGGTGGTCTGATCCAAGTTCGCAACCGAGGAGCGGGGGGGGTGGCTGGCTACAACCAGGGGGAGGGGGCCGCAAGCTTGTAGCCCACCCAACGAAAATGTATGCCATGCCTGGGAAAAGAGGACCCTGGGCTAAAGGTATTCACGTTGGATGCTGAAGCTAGGACGTTTCGAGGGGAATTGGGGACTAATGGAGCCGGATGTGGTTGTTGGCCGTTGAGCTGATATGTCGTTTGGGGGGGGGGGGGGGGGCGTCATTAGGATTGAACATGACGGACGGGAAAGACAACGGTTTTTTGTGGGCTAAACCATGGCCATCTATCGCTGCTGTCTTCGTGGCGGTAGTCTTTTTTAGCCCTTTTGTTCGACGTCACTGTTTCTGGGTCTTGTTTCCTCTTTTCGGTGGCGACATCCTTTTTTCCCCTTCATCCCCCCCCCCCCCCCCCCCCCCCCAACGGGACTGAGTATGCTGCAGAGTGTTAACAACTCATGCTCATCGAGCGAGATAGTACAGATGAGTAGTTGGACGAAAGCCAACATCACTTCCGAAAGGAAAAGGAAAAGGAATACATCCCCCTTCTACCTATGCAAAGTGCAGTTCGCCCGGAGCTGCTTCTCCTCTTGTGAAACAGACAATCGATTATGTAGTGGTAGGGCTTGCATAACAGTTTGTGTGGCTTTCTCAGCCCTGGCATCCATATCGAAATGTTGTATAGCTCATAGTCAGCCCTGTTCTACGTTCGGCCGCGAGTAAGTTGCTTTGTGAAGAAAGGTTCTTGGGATGGATCAAATACAGGCGGAATTAGTCAACCGTATGAAACAGAGAAAAGCGTCATTTCGGAAGGCAGCCGCACTTTCCTAGGACAATGGATGGATTGGATGCCACAGACAGATACTGTGCCTAGGTAGGTAACTGCCAACCCTGCGCCTGCCCTGTCCTGCACGGGGAGTATGGTGTTTGGGAAGGTGCGACGCAGAACGGATACCTTCTTCATGCCAGGTATTACACGATGTGCGCGTTGTGTGTGGAGCTGATTGGGAGAAAGGTTGGATGTAGCATAAGAGACAAGAGAATTGGAAGGTTAGCTAGGTGGTCGAAGGGAAACTGAAGGAATTGCTTGAAAATATGAAGGATTTATAGAGACCGTGACAGGTCAACTTCCCTGCCACTTACACATATTCAGTTCAGGTCGAGCAAGTCATAGTTACGTTTTAAACTCATGTAAGAAAACGTTTTCTATAACTCAAAAGCTTGTTCTGCAAGAAGACAGCGATAACGAGGGTTCCTAAGAACCCTTGAAGGGTCAGATCATGGATATTCGACCCAAACAAACTCCTCTTTGACTGACGGGGCCTGTTGCTATAGGACCCAGGTATTTTTTGTGATACCCTCCACGCTCCATGCTCCAGGTACCCCTGATCCTCGGTTCTGCAGGCCGAGTAGCCGGTCGTTCAGGTTGTCAGAACCCTCTCGTGCATTGTCGCTGACACAAATGTTCATCTGCAGTCTCCCATCCTTCACACGACAATTACACATCCTCAAGCTTTAAGGTGACCCAACGAACGGCGCCGGCCTTTTCAATGCACTGACTCGGATACGGCCCCCCCTTTGAACCCACGTCGGAGCCGGAGCGTGTGAGCTGTCACATACTAATGCGGTAATACCTGAAAAATATTTTTTCTTTTTCATTTATTGCGCTGAACTTCGGCAGAAGCAAAACTTCGCTTACACCCCTGGCCCCGGCTGATCTGATCTTTGTCCAAACCTTAAACGACAAGGTCTTGGGCCTTTGAATGGCACCTTTTTTCTCCAAATATGCCCAATAATACGAGACTTGAATTTTACCCCTCGGATCTCGTTACTATTACCGGAAAGGGCAATTTACATGACACCAAATCTTGGTTGATTGAGCTGATCAACATCACCACGAGGCTTTAGTATCAGATCACTCGCCAAACTACCACTAACATCCAACTGAGGTATTGTAAGAATTCTACGTACCTCAGCTTGCAGTAGCCTCTCAACCTGTCATCACCGATCAAGGGCCACCCCTGATCGTCGGAGCCAAACCGAGAACGTTCAACACCTATCCGTCTCCACCTATAGAATCAGCAAAAACTCACATTGGGTGTACAGGAACGCACACGAGTGCAGGATCGTGATCTACAGTAAGCAGCCAGCCTTCCGGAGAATATCCATCCATGTTTTCTTTTCTTCAGCACAAGTGTTCCTATTTACGTATTTGCCTTGGCACTCGTACGTTGTTTGCCACTCGTGGGAGCACTATAACAAAGACTGATACGATGGTAATTAGACTGTTCGTTGTAAAGCCGACGATAAGATTTTATGGGGGGCTCTCTTAATAGTCGTCACTAGCTCTTTGCGGCTGACAAGTGACGGGCGATCCAAATGTATCCCTCTCTAGGTGACGAGAACAAGGAATACCCCAGAATGACTTGATCAACTGCGAGCCTGTACCAGATATATTACGGGCTAAGCGATATCCGAAGCTATTTCAACTCGATGATATATCATAGTTTGTTAATGAATACACATACATAATAAGAAACTCAGGCGTAAAGCATGCTTAAATTCATCTAGCCTCAATCGATCTAGCCTGGTCTACTATATGTGCCATGCCATGGATGTCATGACCAATGCTCACCGCAAAGTTATTTTGAACATGAGTCGTGCAGAGAGACAGCTCGCTGACCAAACTGTCAAAGCGGAAATAATGTAATTGGTGAAAGCTACTACTACATGAACCCAGGTGGAAGTGATAAATCGTCTTTCTAGCCCGAACGCCTTTGGTATCTCAGTCTCCAAGACCAAGAGTTTTTCCTAGTCCCGCTCCCATTAAACTACTCACGTGTCTCACTTCAACGATAGACGCCCTGTAACCACATGCCTCTGCTACGTTTAG